CTGCCTCTGGGACCATTATGACCACGTTAATCTCCTTGGGAGGCTGGGTTTGATATGAAACCCACAAATGGGCACAATGGAGGCAATTTGTGCACGGCAGAGCTGTGGTCGCTCAGTCCTGGCTCTCATTCCCTTCCAGTGCCCAGAGTGTCCCCATCCAGGCCCAAGGGCAGGCAGTGCCTGTGCCCGCTCCCACAGGAGCTGCTGAGCTCCCTGCAAACACAGCACAGTGCACAGCAACATCTCGGTGGTGTTTGTCCCTGTGGGTGTCACGGTCACCAAGTAAGGGCTGGGACAATCCTCTCCTGCCGGGTGGCTGACAGCAGCGTTTGTGTTCCCTGCACCCCTGTGTCCCACAGCTCACGCTTTCACGGGCATATCTGACAAACAGCTCCACACCAAGCGACCCAGAGGCCCTTCCTGAGGCTGGGATGAGACAGGATGTCAGTGCACAGAAGGGAGAAGCAGGTAAGAAGCCCCAGGCAAATGTGACATTTGAGAGGGCAAGAGTGAAAGGTGCCTCTTGGTGAAGGCATTTCCCAGCCCCGAGCTCTCTGCTGGGCTCTGCACACATTTGCAAACCCATCTTCCAGGGACCAAGTGCTCCTGTCTCCCAGCTCTTCTGCGCCTTTGGGGGGAGCTTCACGTTTCACATTTCTGTCTTTGAGAGCTCAGTTTTCTACCCTAGATATGTCCAAAACTGAGGCTCAGTATATATGCGGGGAAAGTAATTCTTGTTCTTCTGCAGAAAAGCCCAGTCTCTGTCCAGCACAGACAGGAGCCACCCCTGGGGTGTTCTTGCACACTCAGCAGAGCACCCTGCACTCCACACTGGGGACATGGAATTCTCCAGGAGCTAAGGAATCAGTGTAGCTCTGACCTCTTGGCAAAACCCAGCCCACAATGAGCAGCAACAAGGCAATGTTGCTGCTCCAGCATTTCCCACTCCTTTCAGGGAAGAAGGAGATCAGAATGTCCCAGCAGAGATGGGGGAAATGCAAGAGGTTTGCAGGACTAGCACTGGAAAACCATTCCTGTGTGTCCCCTTGCTCCAAAGTGTGTCCTGTGATGACACAGCACATAGGGTTGAGCACAAAGGATGGGATGCTGGTACCTGCAGCAGGTAGATCAGGACAGTTTCCTTCCTTTCCTTGCTCCATCCTCCAAAAGAGCCCTTCCAAGGCTTTCTCCCTGCCTGATCCCCTTGAGACACAGGTGCCAGGTTTGTCCAGGCAGGTGGGAGGCAGCAGCCATGTGGATCAGAGTGGGAAGCACGTCTGCTGGGAGCTGCTCAGTACCAGACTTACTGGCTTGGCCGGAAAGTTGAGCTCACCTGGATTAGTTGGTCTGGGCGTGTCAGAGTGGTTTGGGAACACTCTCTGGAGCAGGATTTTTCATGGGGGTAAAAAAAAAAAAAAAAAAAAAAGTTCTCCATGATTTGCATGCTAAGAAGATATCATCATGGCAGAAGAATTTCAGATGATTACATTCTGGGTGTGGGAATACAGAATTTTCTTCAGTTCTCACCTTAAGGTTGACACAAAGCTCGGGAAACAATACACAAATACTTCTGCACTTTCTAGTGAACCTTAGCCTGCAGAAGGATAAGGTGAGGATAGGATCAGGCTACAGGGAATCCAGGAGTGCCTGGAAGCAGCATCACCTGCTCTCCCACCTCTGCAGGGGCAACAAGAGGGGGCTGCCCTCCTGAGCTCCATCCTGGCTAGACCTGAGTGTGATGAGCAACAAGTATTGAGCTTCTGTGGTGTCCCTGCCCCTCATAAGAGGGCACAGCCCTGTTCCCAGTCCTTTCTGTCCAGCATGGCCAGCCAAGATGTGTTACCATGTGTGCAAGGCTTGGCCCCCAGCCCATGTTGATTCAGTGTGTGCAGAGGTCGGGTGTGTGCAGGTACACGTCTGGGGCTGTGCAGCCCCGGGTTCTGTGTGCAGTGAGGTGCTTTTGCTGGGAAGGGAAGTGTCTTCCCTGCCTTTCCTCCCTCTGCTCCTCAGCACACATTCCTTGCCAAGAGCCTGAAGAGACTGAACCAGCAGCAAACGTGGGATTGTCCCTTTTGGTCTCTTCACCCCAACATGCTTCTCCCCACCTGGGGCAGTGCAGTCTGGGGCTTAAATACCCCCCAGTTTTCCACCTGTACGTAGCCATAGATGTTGGGACAGCTCTAGTGACCTTGGTGTAGCAAAGTCCTGCGGATCCACCTTTCCTGGGAGCTGATTTCCCAACAGAGTCTTGTTGGATCACTCCTAAACATTCATTCCAGGCAACACAGCTTGCAGTGCCTCTGCTTCACAGCACAGTTTATTGCTGAAGCTGCTTTCTGCCTCTGTGAGCCACTGGGCTGGTGGCTCTGCATCTGCTCATGAGCTTGTCAAGCCTCCCACCAGCCCAAAACCTTTCTTTTTTGTTTCTTTAGATGACAATGATGCCGAGTCTGGGAAGCAAGAATCCGATGAGCCAGACACGACGGACAGCGAGGTTTGTTTGTTTGTTTGTTTGTTTGTTTGTTCTCCTCAGCCATCAGCTTAGGCTGCTGTGTCCCAGAGGCATCAGACAGCTTGTCCCAGCCCAAGTTCCCTCCAGAACGTGATGGCTCTTCCTGCACCATGTGCCAAACCTCATTCCCACCCTGTTGCACAACTTAGTGCTGAGGGATAGAAGTGCCACTCTTTCCAGACAGTCAAGACAGTGTTTATGATCAATAGCATTTGTCATCACTCCATAGCAATGGTCACAGAGGTCCCTGGCAAAGCCACCAGCTCCCTGGGAAAGCTGGGGTAGTTTGTAGACTGACTGTTCATCTCATTGGTGTAGGAGAAGTATGAAGATGAGGTCCTACAAGAATCTGAGGCTGACGGGAAATACTTCTGCACCAAAGACAAAGTTCATGTTCAGCAAAGGAAGAGAAAAAGAGGACAGGATCCCTGGATGAAAGGTAGGGAGGAGAAGTCCCTTGGGGCATCAGCTCAAGGCTACAACTTCTGCTGCTTCCAGAGGGACTCCTGTGAGAAATTCCTGAGGCCAGGGGACAGGAGGCTTCTCCTCCATGCTCCTCTGAGCCACGTTTTGGCAGCACTCATAATCTCCAGCCAGAGGAGCCCCTGCTAATGGTTAGCCAGGACAGCCTGGGCAGGGTTCCCAGGAGAGCACCCCAAGCACCTAAACTAACAAAGCTTAATCCCTTGTGTTTGCTTATCTGGTCAGGGAGGGGGTGACTGGGGAAGGCCAGATTCCCAGGGCTGAGTTATTGACATGCAGAGAAAGGTTTCTGCCAAAAAACAGATCTCTGTTGATCTGCCAGTGTGGCTGTGGAGGTTTCCCTGCTGACAGAGGAATGTGTTGTACCCACGTTTCCTACAGGTGAATAAGAAGAAAACTGCTCCTGATAAGGGCAAGGATAAGGGAGTTTGTCTGTCAGGCCTTAAAAAATGCTCTGTCAGAAAACCCTGCTGCTCACCTCCTGTGTACTGGTGGTAAAAACAGGGAAGTGTTGGCCCAACCATAAATGCAGAGAGGGCCGTTGCTTAAACTTGAAGGGAGCTTGTTTAACAGCCTGGCCTTCAGAGGGCCCTGCTCACTCAGGGGACTCCACCAGAGCTGGGTGACAAGAGGATCTGCTGTACAAAACCAGCCGCTTGGGGCAATGGGGAGAAGCTGTCCTGTGCAGCCCAGGGCAGACACGTGTGACCCTCCAAGACTGGATGGGGATGTCCCAAGTGAGGGGTGGGTGCAGCTCTGCCAGGAATGGGGTGATGGAAGGGCGTAGCACCTCTCTCAAAATCTAGTATGGGCCATGAACCACACTGGAACGGGAAGAAATCCACAGAATGCATCTTGCTGCTCTGGGTACCCTCCCAGGGACGCTTCTGCATCAGGTCAGCTCTCTGCCTATTTCTGCTCCGCGTGTTTTGTGTCCAGGATCACAACAGTCTCCCCTGGATACCCACACATCTCACATGTGAGGGGTTTCTCTCTTCATCTTTCCTTTGCTGAGCTTTGCTTCCCCCTGCGCTGTCCCTATTTTGGGATGAGGCCATGCTGACTTCAGAAGTGTAAATCCATTTCTCTGTGGTTAACTCCTGCTGTCATCTGGCTGTTTACAGGATCTAAGAAGTCAATGAGAGGAAAAAAGAAAATCAAAGTGGAGCAATGCCCAGTGGGGATCACAAAGGAACTGGAGAATTGCTCAGCTTCCCATACTGATCCCTCCAATGAGAGTTAACAGCAGGGCAGGATGGAGCAACTACAGACCAAAGGAGAGGGCTCAGAGACCTCAGAATCCCACCCATGCTGGGAGAGCAGGCAGTGGGGAATTCATAAGGACTCGTTTATGAGCAGAGCACCCTGAAACTCCTCACTCAGCTACAGGAGAGGCTGGGCAAGGATGAGCCGTGCAGGTGCCACCTGGAGCAGCCAGGTCACTGCTGGTGGAGCCCCACGGTCGGTGACCCCAGCCCTGTGCCAGAGCAGACCCTCAGACTGGAGCTAGGAAGAGGAGATGTCTCTTTGTAACCCTCGCCCTGCATCAGAGCCATGTTCTTCCCTGGGATTTGGAGCTTGGAGAACAGACTAGAGACCCCTCTCCTCATGAAGGATGTCCCAGTGGCTGGCTGAGGGGTGGTGACCAAATCAAACACTGCAGAGTCCCATGCACAAACCTGCTTCAATTAAATCCCTGCCCAGGTTTCATACACACGTGGATCTTGCCTGACCTGGGGAAAGTCCAGGGTTTTCTTTTCTGGTTAAGTGAGGAGCAAGTACATGGGCAGACAGGTGGGATGTGTCCCTGGAGAGGGCAGGGAGAGGAGCAGGGGAAGGGAGGGTTCGGGTGCTCACTCTCCCCACGGTGTCCTGTATTTCCATCCTGGAAAAGACCAGTGTGTGAGACCCAGCTGCAGCTGACAGCAGAGCACCAGCTCAGCAGTTCACACTGACCTTGGCAGGATTGCTGGGAGCTATTTTTCACGTGGATAAGCTGTTCCTAGTAATGTTTTTCTGCTGGGATGAGACGGGAAGGGCTGCAGTGAGCATCCCTGCTCGCAACATCCAGGAGCCAGGCTGGGCTGTTCCTGGCACACAGGTGGAGAACAGGGACAAAACAGAGACCAGAGAAGTGCCAGAGCCAATTCCTGCTGCACTCCCACTTCCTTTACCTGCAGTTATTTCTATTCAAACGTGGGGTTTTTGCCTGTTCCCAAGAACGAAGGCAAAGCACAGCCAGCCAAGGGCAGCGTCCTTTGCTCCTAGCACCTTCCCATCTCCGCAAGCCTAAAATCCCATTCAGAGAGCCCCGGCTGGGGGGGAGCAGGGGCGGAGTGTCCGGCACTGCCTGGGCAGCCTCGCATGCACCCAGCCGGGCGGGAGCGGGACCGGGACCGGGAATGGGAGCGGGACCGGGAATGGGAGCGGGACCGGGAATGGGAGCGGGACCGGGAATGGGAGAGGGACTGGGAATGGGAGCGGGACCGGGAATGGGAGCGGAGCGGGACCGGGACCGGGGGCGGTCCGGGAGCTGCGGGATCGGGATCGGGACCGGGACCGGGACCAGGGGCGGTCCGGGCGCTGCGGGATCGGGATCGGGGTCGGGATCAGGACCGGGGCCGGGGCCGGGGCCAGTCCGAGCGCT